TAGATAAAATAAAGTCGAACAAACTATAGAATTTAATTATGAAATGAAAACAAATACTTCGCCTTTCCTAGATATCATATTAAACCTCAGTAATAATAGCTTAAATGTGTCCATCGCAAATCAGCTAATAAAAATTATCTCATAAAGTTCTATTTTCCCCATAACAACAAATAAAATCCAGAATAATCATCAGATTCTATTTAAGAGCACTCAGAATTTGTAGCCCTCAATATTTACATGTAGATGAGAAATACATTGAAAATTCTTTAAAACTCCTACAAAGCCCTAATTATTTCATATTCAACCGAAACAAAAGGCTCATAACATATTTCAAAATAAAATGGCGGACCTTCCTGACAAAATCAATAGATCAAAATATATCTGCCAACTCTATCACAACTATAATTAAATATAATTTATGTACGCTTAACATAAAATTTGTTACAGCTACGTCTAAAACAATAAAAGGCTTAATTAATACAAAGCAAAATAATAATAAGTTCAAACTTGAAGGAGGACTTTATTCTATTACTTTTAATAACACTGGTCAACAAAAAAAAATTTTGAAATGGTGTCAAGACACCAAACATCTTTTTTTAGCTAATTTGAGGGCGCTGAATCTGACCTTTTCTTGGTTAGCTAGCGTTTTTGCTGTACAGAAATGCCTCATTTTTGGGAAAATGCTTCTTTTTTTCATTTGTTTTCTGTATATATGATATTGACCGATGGCAATATTTCTCAAAATATAATCGTAGAAACCTCTCAATTCATATTTAAACCAACAAATATTGGTATGCTTATTGAGAAATACTATTTTTGCAATAACAATTAGAGCCTAAGTCTTTAAAAATAACACAATTGAATATACCAAGACCAACAAGTTTTTTCATGCAATCATTTAATAAACTAACAGCAGAAATAAAACCTTTGTGAACATAAGAACTATGGTAAAATGTTTCTCTTTCTTGATTGTCTGTCATGTTCAATGTTATTGAAAGTTCCTTTTGATACTCCAGAATTATCATGTACAATGGAATAAGTACATTCAATTAGGATGTCTTTAGTTGGAGTTTCTTTCCAACTGTGAAAACAAAATGCTCTCAATATGCTTGGTTTCCTTCCGTAGTAAAGCGATAAATTTATGAATATCAAACAGAAGATTTCAGGGTTTCATTTTTTTAATGCTGCCTTAATTATCAGGTTTACTAAAATGTATTACTGATAAAGTTTATCAGTTAATTTGAATTTTGAAAATAAATTGGAAAAATTTGGTACTTCTATTTTAAATTTTTGGCTCAAACACTTTTTTCTCATAAAAAATAGTTTATTTCGGGTCACTGACATAAATTGCTCGGCCTACCTGAAATTGATGGATTTCTACGACCTTTAATAACTAAATTTTGCGATCAGCCAAATCTAAGGTCATTTTCGGAATCAGCACTATCAAATTAGCTGTTTTGTTTTTTGACATCAAAAATCGTGCTTTATTTTTGGCACCAAAAATTGTGTTGACCAGTGTAATTGTCACAAGGAATACATTGAAGAAACCTCAAGGAATTTAAATAAAAGATTATATGAACGCAAAAGTGATTTTTTTACGAAACACTAGACTAAATGCATTAGTTGTTCAACGTAATGATATTGACCATAATTTTTATTTAAAAAATTCTACTTTAATTAAAAGAGAAAGGAATTTACTAAAACGAAAATCTATAGAAAGTGCTTTAATCGCCAGATCATCCGCAATAAATTTAAGTCCAGGTTTTTACAATATTTCATCTTTCTTGGCAGATCTGCAATTGTCACAATGTGAAATATTTAATAACAAGAGTGATGGAAACATAAATTAAAAGAAAAGGAAACAAAATGAAATCAGCTAGACTATATAACCACATATTTAAAACAAAATAATTGTCATTGCTATATGTAGTCAAAACGGCATAAACTTCACTTTAGTTCGATGATGTCCTAAAGGACAAAAAGCGTCACACGAAAACTTCCATACGTTATATATTTCATTCCAAGTTGCTGGTCTAGCTTTTATATACATCACGTATATAATACTTTAAAAGATTCACTTTCTCTGTCGATAGCTTAGGGGAAGAATCTCAGACTGATGCCAAATCGGTCGAGTTTCGATCCCGTCTTGAAACACTCGGATGTCTATCCACACTGATGAGGTGTGATACATCGAAACAGTCTGTGGATATATATTGTGTAAAATGTATTATATTTATTAGAGAAGACTGCACAATATTGATGATAGAGCGTTTATACAAATAGACATAGGAATCAACACTGTCAGTTGCAGGCTTCAATGTGATTTCCTTCAAAAACAAAGTCGGATGAAGTCCTAAAGGGCGTCACAAGTAAATTTTTTCCACTTTGTTATACATTTTTCCCAATATCGTTATATATATATATGTGTGTGTGTGTGTGTGTGTGTGTGTGTGTGTGTGTGTGTGTGCGTGCGTGCGCGCGGGAAAAACCTTCCACACCATAATCAAATCTCATGTGCTGACGTCGGGCTGACAGTTTCCTAGGAACTGATCTGCTTGACCCTCATACGTCGAATTCGACGGGAGAGTCGAGTATATATATATTGACGTAATATACATTGTTTAAGAAATAAAACGGGGCGTCTATTTCAAATATAAGTATCCACTATAATAACGTTTGAAGTATTAAAAATATCGTAGTAAAAATTAATCCATTAATTCTTTTAGAAAAAAATATATATATATATATATATATATATATATATATATATTTATATATATATTTTCTAAGCTTATATATTTGCAACATCCACTAGATTTTTTTTTTTTCTGGGTCGGGGAGAAGATATGTAACATATCTTTATACTTTCTTGGCATATTTTCGTTTTTATAAAATAAATAAAAATTCGTTCTTCCGATTTTATCCCAAACGGTATTTATTTTCTTTTGTTTTTTCTTTTTTTTTTTTCTTTTTTTTTTCATTATAAGTGTTTTGTTAGATAATTAGTTCGAGGACCAAATATCAGTAAGGGCACTTGGGATCCTGGAGCCACGGTAATGGTTAGCAACCTTGTCTCGCTAGAACAATTACGACTGAGTAGTGAGTTCGATCCTCTCTGGGTGCCCCATATTTTCGGCCTTGTTGTAACATCTACGCTAGGCTTGGAAAAATCAGTAAGTTCACTTATTTTGTGGCTCATCGCAATGATTAATATCCCGACAACTGTATAGTGTAGAAATCTCAATCAATCTACATCGTTTTGGTCATGTTTTGTAATTACAATCAATTATGTTGTCTGTTTTAAAAGTATTGCGCCCAAACTGTTCAAACTCACGAATCTAGCTTGGCTGTTTGAGTTAGACCCAGATCTTCATTTGTCCAGTCGACCGTTCTTAGAATGTGTGAGTAAAGGTGTTTTGGTGTCTGCAAATATATAGATAAAGCTGGATGATTATAACTGACCCTCAGCTCTATTACTTCGCACTCTATTATCACGGGATTCTGGCTGCTTCAACCGAAATCATGTGAATTCCAAAGTTCCTTCTAGCTTACTCAGCTCTATTTCAATTTTTAATCGATAAAGATTATTTCGACCATTTCCATTGTCTCCTGATGACCCAGATTCAATGGGTACAACTTCTGCCCTAGATCAGATTTTCCCATCAATAAACAAATTGTTCTGATTTAATTTCGCTATTCAAATCTGCTCCAATTTCACTTACAAAAATGTGTGTGTGTGTGTGTGTGTGTGTGTGTGTGTGTGTGTGTGTGTGTGTGTGTGTGTGTGTGTGTGTGTGTGTTTTCCCAGACTCTCTCTCTATCATAATCAATCTACATCGTTTTGGTCATGTTTTGTAATTACATTCAATTTTGTTGTCTGTTTTAAAAGTATTGCGCAAAAACTGTTTAAACTCACGAATCCAGCTTTGCTATTCGAGCTAGACCCAGATCTCCATTTGTCCAGTCGACCGTTCTTAGAATGTGTGAGTAAAGGTGTTTTGGTGTCTGCAAATATTAGGTAGAAGAGACGTATTCAAAGAGTTTTGATGTCATGTCCCTTCAGGGTGTAGGTGATCATGTCTCTCCACAATTTCCTTTTATTGAAATAATAAGATATGTGAATTGCCGTGAATTCTTCGAAATGATTTTGGAGTGGTTTCTCGTTGCTTTCTTCACGATTTGAATTTTTTTTCCTTCTCCTAGATTGGTTACTGTCTAAAGCTGAAGAGCTCAGTTTGCTGTACTATTTAACTTATAGCTGGTATGAAAAAAGATAGATCCATACCTTTCCCCAGGTATGAAAAAGAATTTGAGCTCGGTCGCAGATTACACATTCCACACTGAAAAAAGTGAAAAATTTCTTTTTTTAATAAAAAAAAATAAAAATAAAAAAATATATTATATAGAGAGCGTGGATCTTAGCCATTTCGAGAGCTATTTTTCACTTAATTTATAACAGTGGAGACATATATCGAAGTACTGAAGAATTCTATATCGTCCTGGGTATGACGATAAACGAAATCCGGCAGCAATGCCTCTGATCGGGAGGTTTTGAGGACCGTGGAACCACCTCTTAATTGTTGATGTTCCTAGGTCTACCCTGACCCGGGGTGGTAGCACCTGTTAGGGTCCGAGCTATGGGCAAATAGTGAAATCTCAAATTGAGTTTAGAAAACTGTGAAAGTATAAAAATACATTTTTATAGTAAAAATTTCTAGTAATTGATTTTAATAGTAAAAACGAATTCTAGCAATAGATTTTAATAGAAAAAAAACAGCAATATCTTTTAATAGTATAAAAATAATTACCAAAACTCCCAAGAAAATCTAATTTCGGCATTAAATGAAGGAATTGATATGCCGTTAAACAAACCAAACCAAATTTTAACTATAAATATGCCCCTCGTTCATAGAGAGTGCTTTCATCGTTTTTTTTCTTTGGCTCGTATGGCGTACCATAGCTCATGCTATTGGGTTTTATTTTCCTATTTATATGGCTTAGGGCCATATAGCGTTGAAACGGCGGTTCCCGTGCGATCACCGAAGTTAAGCAACGTCGCACCTGGTCAGTACCCAGATGGGTGACCGCTTGGGAATACCAGGTGCTATAAACTTCGATGTTCGTGTGGTTTAATGGATAATGGCTCGGAATTGGAAATCGGAGAGCCGAGTTCTAATTCCCGTTGGGTATTCCAATGGGATATTCACTTACGCGAAAATTCTATTGGAAAAGGTATGAATTCACTTCTTCTCCCCCAGCTATGGGTTAATTAGTAAAACTTGTATCACTAAATCATTATTATCTCCAAAATAAATTCTTACGATCTAAAAATATTTGCTGGCTTGAAATAATCTGTAAAAGTTTGATAATCGGTAAGAACGCCTCAGCTGCAGATGATGTAGGCTGAGTTAAATTTTTTTTGCCGTCAATCTCTGAATCAAGTAATGAAACTTTATACACTGGTTCAACAAGAATGAACAAGAACTGGTTATCGCGGGGGCAACATAATATAATAATCAACATGTATCCCACCTCATGTATATTAATAATGGACATCTGAAGATGGTCAGAGAGTAGCAGATAAGTGGCAGAACCGGATTTAGGGGAGATAACAAAAAGACAAAATTAATTAAGACCTACAAAGCACAGGAAGTTGTGGAGAACCAAAATCACCAACGTCTTGGAGGGATACGACACATAGAAGAAAAAGATCTGTGTTAACGAATTACTGGACGCACTCGAGAATGCTAAGAAAATGCTGAATAAAAGATTTAAATTGATCCATCCGTTGTTTAACTCCTGTTGAATCCGAAGCCTAAACTGTTTTACCCTAATTATCGTTCAGAATTATCTGAGAATTTACTAATATCACTTTATGTAATCATATATTTTTTTAATCAAGTTCGCCCCAAGCAAGGCAGTAAAGTCACTGAGACGCAAGGAGTTACCGGGTGTGGAAGAGTTAGAAACGAACATTGCTAAAGAGCGAGAACAGACGAAAAGTAATCCGGGCAGAAGATAGTGATTGACATTGCATTTTAATTTTTGCAGATTAAAGTTGGCTGGAAAGCATGGAACCAGAAGGAAATTTGTTGGATTACCGCCCCCTGATGATAATTACAGGCGGCGCAAGATTTGAAAGCATCAACATCTTTCTCGGTGCCTTTTCATAGCGAAAACAACGTATTATTTTCGCTCCCGCAAAAAAAAAAAATGTAAGTATTCAACTACAGACACTGAAGGTTGCTCTGAACTCTTCAACTTTCATTTAATTTTCAATTTTTCCTTTTGTAAAATGTCCTATCAGTATATTTGTTAATATTTCCTTGTTTAAATTCTATGTCTTATTTTTCCTTTGAACTTACACGAGTCCACCAAAAATTGTTTGCGTTTCAAATGTACAATCTCATCAAAAGTGTTGAATCCCGCAACAAGTTCCACAAGCGATATGTGCGAGAAAAGAAACTGTTAATATAGAATTTACGATTACATCTAACCAGCTCGACTCTAAATTGGTGAAACCTCGTCGCCAATCTAGTACTGCACTTAAATTCGAAGAGTCTGGGTACCATAGCGCAGAGCTCATCAGAATAATTACCATGAAAGTATTTATAGAAAAGACAACCTTATGGCGGTGGGAAAGTAACTGAAGCCGAGATGCCAGGTCGGGGCCAATAACATTGCTGATTCTTATTTGGATTTTTATCAAGGAGCTTTAGATAAATAGCAGGAGTACTGGGCCATATGTGGCAACAATATTCTAAATGTGGACGAATCGTAGACTTATAGATATGTAAGATAGACTCTGGAGGGAAAAACCGTCTCGTGAATTTGTAACGTAGTGAACAGAAACGATACACCTTGCAATGTTCTACCATTATATCTGATGAAAAAAAAAACAATGAGAGAAAACATCAAAGGAATTTATAATAAAACAAAATAAATATCATTTTACGAAGGACTGGTCAAAAGAAATTAATGAGACTGGGCGACAATTCTCTGCATATTTCACAACTTAAGGTGAAAAAATAGAAGGAAAAGACATCTTTCTGGACTGATATACTCAAGCCAGATAACTGAACATTAAAAAAAATATATCGATTTTAAAATGTCTTTGTCTGGTAGTCGCGTGCCAAGAAAATCTCCTTCCATTGAATATTTTTTAGCATCTTTGTCGTTCGTTTTTTTATTTTATTTTATTTTATTTTATTTATTTGCAAAATAAAGATGATTTTTTTGTCTGCGTTGTGTTCGCTTCCTTTTCCCTCGGAAAGAGGAAAAAATCTAAGATACATAACTCTAGCATCTTGACTATTTTTTTTTGTATTAAACATCGTTCAAAAAAGAAAATAAAGATGATTTACTCAGCATAGTTTAGAAGTAGCACATGACCGAAAGTATGGAGCACCCAGTGCGGATCGAAATTCACTATTCAGTCGTAATTGATCTAACGAGACAAGTTCGTTAACCATTATACCACGTCGAAGTGCTTTAATGATGTTATATTCTAAAAAAAAAAAAAAAAAAAAAAAAAAAAACAGACACGTCAACTCAACAGAATGTTCTATTTGAGTGGGAAATCGATCTTTTAAGTCAAGGGAGCGCGAGTAAAACCGTTTTTATACTGATGAACTTATGTGAATATATAACATATGTTTGAGGTAACAGTAGCCGGTTCTTATCCTAGATAGTCATAAATTAAAAGGGACAGTTTCTTCGTTATATGCTAATTTACTAAGCGGCGATTAGATGTGGCACAAGGCCGAAAATAAAGAGCAACTAACGAGTGTGAAACTCACTACTCAGTAGTAATTGAACTAGCAGGACAAGCTTGAAGTGCCCAAAATCCTCTTAGCTTAGATGTGGCAAAAGGCCGAAAATAATGAGCACCCAGTGTAGATCAAATTCACTACTCAGTTCTAACTGATCTAGCAATTTCTTTGTCTTAAGATTTTTTCTTAACCTATATCCAATAATGGCATCCCAAACTTTTATGGAACCGGTTCCTGGATTCCATAAAAGCAGGCAATCTTAAGGAACTTATTATTTTCTTTTCAATCTGAGAATGGCAACAAATCACTTTATAGTATAAAAAAAGAATTAAACCATTTTGATAATTTAATAAAAACATTTATTAAGATATTTCCAGATTGAAATTCTCTTCTCATCATATTTCTGTTCAGATGTAAGATGCTTTTTTACTCTAGTGTCATCAGCTGTTATGGTTTCTTAGCCACATTCCAACTGAATCGCTTCAATTCCAAAGATCCAATCGAAAACTTATCAAATTTATGACTAGAAGATTTGCCATATTTTTTTACTTCAAGACAAGCTCCTTTGTCAGAATAAATTATGTTCATCGCAGAAAAAATCCTTTCAACCCCTGCAGAACTTACAGCAATGGTATTAATTATATTTTGAGCTATGATATATCGGCTATTAATATATAAGATTATTTTCGGATAAACCAACAACCTGTTCGCTAAGCTTTTATAATTTTAAGAATCGGTTCGCGTCAACCGGTTGGGTGCCACCACTGCCTATATCTATAATGGAAAGTGAAAATGATATCAAACGATGGAAATGGGTTCGATGAATGGTTTGTGTTGTAAAAATTAGCCCACTAATGACTTGTGGGGCATGAACCCCTCTTGTCAATAAGTCTGTCTATAACACAACCCTATCATTAATCAACTAACTTTTTAGCGGTTTTTGCTTCTCACTGTTTAGCACAACGCACTTTCCAAAGAATATTTTATGTTGTCACCAAGAAAAAAATCTTCAATGTGAAACAAATTGGTTCGTTCTTAAAATATTGCAAGAAAATTATTCTAAGTAGATTATTAAAATTATCACAATAAAAAGATTTGTTTTTGATTTGCACCTACTTGAATCGATATATTATCTATATACTTTAGAAACACTTTATTTTCACTGACAGGTTTTTCATAGTTAGCAAATGCTCTCATTTAGAAACATTTTTACTCTAATTCGCAAAACTAAATTAATGTAACTGTAATGACAAAAGTACACATGTGTAGGCTTTAAGAAAGCTTTATTCAACTGAGCATACAAGGTTCGCGTAGTGTCCTTTTATCGCCCCAGTAAACAGAAATAGCTCTCACAAAGAGGTGAGTAACAAAACAAGGGGAGACCACTCTTGATTATTCATAACAGTAACTCTTTCCACAAAAGAATATATATAAAAAGAAAATCAATATTTTAATACGTTTTCCTCTTGATAATCATCCTTGCATTTTTAAATCCCCGTAAGGGATTATAAAACAAATGTAAATCCCTAGTAGCAGCGTTGTTTTCTTCATCAACAATATAGATGACATATTGGGCTAGGGATCCAAGTTCAGGACAATCAGAATTTTTATCGCCGCAGAAAAACAATGCTAAATTGACGTGTTAATTGCTAGTGTGTTTAGGTAAAAGCATGTCTCTTGGAATATTTATCTCTCAACTATTATGACCAAGGCCAGCGCTAGGGTCTAACCCCCCCTCTCTACTGCATGCCGATTTCATAATTTCCTGACCTTGATGGGGGGGGGCCAATCCCTTGAAGGAAAATTGGGAGGGGAAGGACAGCGCTTTTTTAAATTACCAAAAAATCGGGGAATTATCCAATTTAAATGAAAAATTCAGTATATATTCATTATTTACTTTTATAATGAATAGGATTTTTTTATTTAAAAAAATCTGAGAAAATGTTATTCTTTTTGTAATGACCACCAATATTTTCATGGCTAAATTTTACTCGAAAAAAATGTTTAAGTTGCAAATTTTTACATTTCCATAAAGATTAATCGCCAACGCATCTCCGCTGAAAAAAGTTTTACAAAGATCACAACACAAACGGGATTGTCTTAAAAATTTGTTTTGAAAACAGTATTTCAGTTTTCGGGAAATTTTTTCATGTGTTGAAATCTTGAAACATTTTCATTTTTTAAGCGATCATTTTTTCGGTCTTATCTTTCTATAAATGTAAAAAATAGAGATTGGAATTTTATTTTAATTACTAGCTGTGAATTTCTGGTTAGTATTACTATTAGTAAAAAAAAAATCAGAGATCCTTCTTAGTAGATGACCTCCAAATAAAATAA